TTTTAGTAGAGACGGGGTTTCACCATGTTGACCAGGATGGTCTCAATCTCTTGACCTCGTGATCCACCCGCCTCGGCCTCCCAAAGTGCTGGGATTACAGGCTTGAGCCACCGCGCCCGGCAGTAAAGATATTCTTAACACAGGTAAAGTAACTGGCAACTGATTAAAAGTGTCCAAGAGGAGAATAAGAAGCCAGAATTTAAAGAGGGTTCTGATAACAGTTTAAGATTGAGGCAGAAATGTACCATTTACACTTAAGATGAGATTTGGTGACGTACCGATTGAAGTTATGGGAGAGAAAGAAGTTAAGCACAGCACCAAGGATTTCTTTTGCCCCCCACCTTGAGTAACTAGAAGTTCTACCTAATCACTCCATCACCTTCCACTCAAGATAATTTTTTTTTTGTTAGTTTCTTATTTATCATTTTAGAAAATCTGTCTGCAAGTACAAGCAAATATGAAATTCTAATACTTTTTTACCCCTTTTTATACAAAAGATGATGCAAACTGAGAACATCTTGATTTTCTATTTGGAAATCCTTCCATATCAGCTCTAAGAAAGTTTTTCATTCTTTTTTTTATAGCTCTGTAATATTCCATTGAATGAAATATTCATTCTGCACGTATTTAGTCCTTCGTTGATGTTCATTTGGTTGTTTCCAGTCATTTGCTGTTAAACTTGTTACAAATGAGTAACCTTGTACACAAGTCATTTTGCATGTGTGCAAGTATACCAAGGGGATATGCATTTATAATTTTGATAAATATTACCAAATTTACCCCCATTTGTCCTTGGCTTAAAATAACAAAGGCTTGTTTCTTGCTGGTACTCCATGTCATGGAGTTTTGCTTTAAAGTTGTCTTCTCTCTGCAATCCAGGCTGATGGTGGAACCAACACCTGGAACACTGCCAGTCACAATGGTAAAGGGAAGGAAAAGATAACAAGTGAAGGAAAATATAGCAAATTGTACTTTGGCTTTTAAAACTTCTTTCCAGAAGTTATTAATACATATGTCACTTTTGCTCACATTTTCCTAGCTAAAGGCAATCATGAAACCAAACTTAACTTTTAAAAAATAATTTCAACTTCTATTACTATTTTAGATACAGAGGGCTGGGTGCAATGGCACATGCCTGTAATTCCAGCAGTTTGAGACCAGCCTGGCCAACATGGTAAGACCCCTGTGTCCACCAAAAATACAAAAATTAGCTGGGTGTGGTGATACATGCCTGTAATCCCAGCTACTTGGGAGGCCATAGAAGGAGAATTGCCTGAACCCAGGAAACGGAAGTTGCAATGAGCCAAGATCATGCCACTGCACTCCAGCCTGGGTGACTGAGTGAGAACCTGTCTCAAAAAAAAAAAAAAAAAAAAAAATTAGATACAGGGGGTACTTGTGCAGATTTGTTACATAGGTATTTTGCATGATGCTGAGATTTGGGGTACAGAGCCTGTCACCCACATAGCGAGCATAGTACTCAGGTAGTTTTTCAATCACTGCCTTCTTCCCCCTTCTCCCTCTAGTAGTCCACAGTGTCTATTGTTCCTATCTTTATGAGTACCCAATGTTTAGATGTCACTCTTTTTTTTTTTAAGATTTCTTTTAATTTTATTTTTTTCAAGATAGGGTTTCACTCTGTCACCCAGGCTGGAGTACCCTGGCACGATCACAGCTCACTGCAGCCTTGAACTCCTGGGCTCAAGTAACCCTTCATCTCAGCTTCCCATGTATCTGGGACCACAGGCATGTGCTACTATGCCCAGCAAATTAAAAAATAATTTTTTTTTGGGTAGAGATAGAGTCTCACTATGTTGCCCAGACTGGTCTTGAACTCTTGGTCTCAAGCAGTCCTCTTTCCTCAGACTTCCAAAGTGCTAGGATTATAGGCAAGATTATAGGCCCGGCCCCT